GTGATAAACTGGTTTCTCAGTTTTGTTGTTAATAATAAAGTTAGTACCTATCTAAATTGCACAGATATTTAAAGAAAAACTAACTTCCTTTCCAGTATATCTTGCAGATAATGCAAATTACTTAGTAAAAAGTTAATATAAAAATACTTAATTAAAAAAGAAATGAAAGATGTTGTAAATTCAAGTTAAAAGTCGAATGTTACAAAGACTAATAGTTACAGGTACCTAAACCCAGAAGAAAGTAGAAACGAATTGCAACTCGTATCACATCACAGCGCCTGGTGACGCCCATCACGTCCGTCGAAACAACTGAGAGGAACTGTATGAGTTAAAGACGGACAATCCTAACATTGTGCAATATCTCACAAAGAAGGCCGGAGAAATCCATGCGTATACATACAATGCGACTTTCGAAAAAAAAAACCAGACGGCGTTCTTTACATCGCTTATGATGGAGGCTATAAATCAGTTGAGCAATAGCTAGTCCCAACGTCAATAAGCACACTGACAATTGACACAAAGAAAAGTTGAAGAATAAGCTTTTATTGTTTCTCGTAACATAATTTACGACGTTTGAACATCTGTTCGGGTTGTTACCTATATCGTTTGGGAAAACAACCAAAATTCTTGATTTCAATGTAATCAAACACGTTTTTGCTGATAAGAATTAGTGGAATTTCATATACGTATATCGAATCACCATTTAAGAGACAAATAGAATCGCCCATTAGCTTTACTGGTAAAATGTAAGCTGTAGGTAACACAGCACTGAATGGTCTTTACAAGTGTTGTATTGTTGACCCTGATCGGATGTTCGATGATCTTTAATTAAGTACCTAATACCACATTATATTGAACTGCCTGTAGTTTTAGAAGTTAAGCTAGACAATAAAATACACCAAAATGTAGAGCAGACACAGAAGGAAGGTTAAACGCAAAACCATAAAATATAGCTTTATGGTCCTGTTTGTTCGCCGAAATGTTTGTTACAGCATTGTTCAGTTCTTGAGCATTGTACTGTACCCTACAGAAATGACAGATAAGAGAAGTGTACTGCACAGGCGGTATGTGATACAATACAACATGTAAAGCTCAAATCTCTCAGTAAGTTAGCACAGAGTTGATACGGCACGCAGCTGCGTAGACACTAATAATAAATATGTTGTGTCACTACGTGACAATAGTTATTAAATTTTCATTCGTGACCCTTTTTTACAAATATACTGTGAGTATGTTAAATGAATCATTTAAATATAGTTAGCACGAATCTTAAAAATGGAAAGAGAAGGGAAGGTCAACAGAAATACGAAACAAATTTAGAATTAATTGAATTGCATAACCCCGTGTTATGTGACTATACAAACATTTGGTGTTCTACAAATAAAAGATCAGACCGTTAGACTAAATAACTAATTGGAAACATCTTTAACCCATCATATCATTTAGTTCATTTTAGGGCAGATGGGGACGAGGATAATTCATATCCACAGATGTTTCTAAATTGCAAAAAGTATGAATACATAAGGACATCGAAGCCCTGCACAAGATAAATTCGTCGTAAAATATTTTGATATCAGGTTTATAATGAAAATAGACTTAGGAAGGAGATAATAATGCTATAGAACAAGTAGACAATGTGACTAGACAACTAGACAGTATCTATGGTTTAAAAGTTATAAGTAACACATCAAATAATAAAAGAACAAATAGAATTAACTCAGTGACTAATAGTTACGTTCCTGAATGTATGTGCTTCTGTTGCGTCATATTTTAGTGTATTATAAGTGCTGGAATTTAATCAAAAAGTTACAATCACAATTAAAATGTCAGTTTATAATTTAATGTATAGTCGGTATATTATTCACATCAATAACGTCCACCAGATGCCCCATACGTCTGTGATCTCGGCCTTTTACTGTTTGATCGTCAGAACAATCAACAAATATCCTATTAACTAGCCATGACAGTTGAAATTATCCTTTCACCCAGGTTCCCTTCCTATTTCTATTTCCGTATTACATAGATAAATTCGAACATATTAATTAATATTGAAATATTCAGCGTCAGAATTTAAGGTTATCTATTTGCCAAACGCTTGAAATCATATTTTAAAAAGAAATTACTATGTTTAGGCTTTTGGCGTTATCTTAGAGGTAATTATTAAAGAAAAGTCATAGTCTAGATATATACGAAGCTTTTTGTCATACATGTAAAAATTATAATTATTTCGATTATCATTTAACTACCTGTAATAAGCTGCGAAGAATCATATATTTCAATTCAAATTGTTACAAATGCAATTACAAAACCTGCAAATTAATGAAACGGCAGCGGTTGTTCGAAATGCTCAGTTTTATTGGTGTAAAGTAACTTTCTTCACTTACATCGAGAACGTCCGCACAGCTGCCGGACTGGTTTGTCCACTTGTGCCGGATTGATTTAACGTTAATACACGATCCACAGTGCTCGCACCGCTGTATTCCGCCGATACTTCATTACCGCTCAACCATCTCCAACTTTGGTCGTTAAATAATATTTGGAAAGGGTTTGTATTGTAAGTTATGCCCGATTTGTAGACACAATGACGATTGTTTCAATTAAGTACGATTGTTTCAGTTTAATTTCCCATTAATAAACAATACCGCTAGTTACTTGATCTGAATCATAGTAACTATCTTTAGTTAGGTACCTATTTACGTTTATCTGAAGCAGATACCGACGGTGGTCCTCAATCTGGCTCTGCAACCAGTACCCGATTCGACTGAGTTTATTAATAGTTACATTATATCCTGCCGAAACTACAATTGCAGCCACTTCAGTTATTAAATTTTATGTTATAACTAACTAGTATTGCTATTTTTTATGTTATAACTGACAAAAATCTCCAATAGTTAATGCTATCCCGAATCGGGACTAAAACCTCGTGATCGGTAGTTGCACTTTCAATCACTGAACGAGGCAGTTAGTAGGTATGTACTCGTAATCTCTTAAAATAAACTCCAGTAAACTAATTAACAATGTAGAAATTCATCAATCCACTTAAATGATAGTTAGTGGCTGAAAAGTTAATTGTTAGCTGCCATAGTCAATTGCAGTAGTTAATGTAAAATTTATTTACTTATCGGGAGCTAGTTATGGTCAAATAATTTATACGTTGCTGAAATTCACAACGTTCTGGTTTTCATAAAAAAAAATAAAAAAGGTAGTTATGTCTGATGCTGATGACACCTGTATTAAGCCAAATTCGTAATCACTTAACAAGGAGCTACCCAGTTCGATTTACATCTATTTTGGCTGATTAATTCCTCGCTTTCTCTCATATCTACCTTATTAGCTGAGGAAGTAGTTATCTGATACAACGAAAAAATTTAGCAACGTGGCGCGAGTCGTACCTTTTCCAGCAAAAAGAGTTATTGCGTTTTAGAAACGACCACTTACAGCTCGAAGTATAAAAAAATACAGTGTAGTTATAAACGTTGGATCTGCGTCAGAACCCACTCCGATCATGTACATTTCATTGCCATCCATCAGTTCATGAGAGTAAAGGAACACATAGTGCACTGTGGTCGTATTTGTGTAAACTATAGTTACCTACACATTTCTAGACTTATAAATATTATCTCCTGTCGATTAGTTGTAGCCTATAGCTTCCAATAGGTATATCTGGAAGTCATTGGGGGAGTCTTATATCTAGCAAAGGGGTGACATGGTGGTCAATAGTCAGTTATTGTTGGATAGGCCGTCTTAATTTTGGATGCGAAAAGCTGAAGATCAAGTTGAGCGGCGTGCTATTAGATGAACCTATGTCAAGCAGTTGACGGAATCGAAATCATCTATCGTAACTATAGGGAATTTCAGAGTTCTTAAATTTTAGTATTTAATTTCATACCTATGACAGCAATGTTTTGCTGTTGACCAGATTTGTTTCGACTTCAACCCTTCACCATAATTTTTGGTTCGTTTTGCGCGCATGGACGAGATTTCTTGCATAACCATTAGGTACCTAAGTTACTTTAACAATATCTATTTTTTTATTATCTATTGTGTCATTAGGGGTACATACCTATAAAACGATCAACGTACAAGTAAACAAAGGTCGTTTATAAACCATAATACCACCATCGTTATTACGTAAAGCGTATTTTAATTTTATACTGAACTATAGGTAAACAGTTATTGTAAACTGGACATAGGTATAAATTTTATAGGTACTTACTTATTATGTTATCCTATTTCTATTATGCATTAGGGATAAAGTAGGTAAGTACTAAGACAGTAATCAAGAAAAGAAAATCATTTTTTTATTTACCCAATATGCACTCAACCGCACATTATTAGTATTCATTTTGTAAGTTAATCAATAACTTTACTATAAGTACTAGTTTCTTTCCAATTACTTTGTATAGGAATTTATAATCCTGAATCAAGTAAAGAAAAGCCAACAGTAGTTACAAAAAGTAAAAAATAATAAATAACAGCTTTTAATTCCCCCATGGGGTATGCAGCAGTAGACAGCAGTTTATATACAATTAAACTCCCTTTATCACCAGGTAAAAGGGTGAGCACATTATTGCAATATACCTATATCCAGATGTATACCTACATCCAGACTGTTTAAATCTGAATAATCATCACTCATCAAACATTAATCAGTAACTGTTCTTTGAATATAAAGCAACTATGCACTGTTTGTGTATATTAAACTGTCAAACACCAAGTGGTCACCGGTGACCGCAACCTATTGATTTCTTTAATTGTGTCTATAATGATGGTACTCAACAAGTTAATTTACAACATTTTGATCTACACATGTAGGTAGGTAGGTATACATAGGTATGTTCAATCTAATTGAAATACTTGATTTGATTTTGTCATTTTTCATGGTCTCGTAACAGATAAATATAATAGGAAGTAACCAATAAGATCCAACTGGACATCTTCAGACTTTTCAAACGCAAACGGAATGGCGCAGTAAAATATTAAATGTTAATGTTACTCACCTAACATAGAGTACAGAAGTTCCACTAACAATTCTCTTCCAACCAAGTGGCACTGTGACAGTTTGTTGAGAATCACTCTGTACCACTGTTCTCGAGCTTAGCTCTGGATTGTCTGTTGGGTGGGATAGCACAGGTGCTGGCAGCACGGCCAGAACCACACCATCTGCAGTTCTCACCAGCTGGGGTGCACTACCACTATCACCTTCACTTACTATTCCTCTACTCACTCCTACTTGTTGATTTAGTATACTTATACTTTGATTCACTATAGATTGATGAGATACACTCTGTTCTAAGAATTGATAGTTCACAAAACTTTTGCACACAGATAACTCTCTTTCACTACAATTTGATCCCTCACCACCACTCTGAACTGTTACATTCTCACTGTACTGATTCTGACCATGGCGTACTGTAGCTGGATGCATAGTATTCATAGAATTATCTGATCCTATAGGGCCAGAACATCTTGCTTGATATGCTGCCAAATCCACAGTCTCTACAGGTACTCTTGCATGAAAACTTTCAACACTACTAAATTCTGTACCCACTTGCTCAGAACAGTCTCGTTTTACACTTGAATTACTTGATCGGTCACTCCTACCATCTTCATTCTTTAAACATGTGTCTTTGATATATTGTTGTGACATTGGGTAGAATTCTGTTCTTTGAGAAACATTGTCAGGAATACCATAAACATTAACTTTACTATCATTTTCATTTATCTGTTTGTAGAAAATATTGGCAGGCAAGTTTCTTGGATCATTTCTGTCAAATTGTGTTCTATAAACTGGGTTTCTAGGCAAATTCACTTGGTGTGGAATATTTTCAGAGATGTAGATGGTATCCAACGATGGTGCAGCCCCGACAGGCGCCGAGGGCGCAACAGGGGCGGATGAAGGCGGCGGGTCGGAGCCCGCGGCGCCTGGCTCTAGCTGGCGCGGGTCCGCCACGTACACCACCACGCGCGGAGTGCCCGGCACGCCCGCTCGCGACGCGCCCACACTCGCGGGCTTGCCTGACATTGCGCACAAACATCACACGCCTCGTTACTTGGCTCCTCACTAGCTGAGCGCGCCGTGACGCGATCTACTGATGAGACTCCACCAGGCATTGCTTGTGACAAGCCTCGATTCATCGCTCGGAGGCCTCCTTATAGCCTGGTGCTCCTGGACCATTATCGGCTGTTGGTTTTTGAAGTGCCAAAGTCATCAATCTTGTTTAATTGTTTTACGATGCTAACAATCTACAAATAATTTTATGGCGGAGCCCCTTTGGGCCCCATTGTAAAAGTTACGGCACCTTGTAACAATAAAACCGGTAGCTTTAGTATAACTACTGTTTTTGTCTTTTATTCATTGCTTTATTACACATATTGACACACTTTGAGGATGCAAAAAGGTCACTGAATAGTATGTGTTCGTTTCATCTTCAATAAGGTCTGACTTTCGCAACTGTAATTTTAAAATCTTCTCAATAACTTATTATGCCAGATTGCGCGCACAATGGTGATAACTTCACAAAATTAGTATCTCACAATCAAAATCCGATGCTTACAAAGTGAAACACTGCAAATAACGAATGAAAGAAAAGGACTTGCACATAAACGATACGACATGATAGGTATACTTATAAAATCACAACTCACTTCTTTCTTTCATTTCTCGTATTACGTTACCATTGGAGGAAAAAAGACGGCAATATCGACTACTAGTGACATCTATTTTTAAAAAATAAACACTCAGCACCAATTCGCTGCCTGCTTTATCGACGTATTTCTGATGACATTCTCGACTTCTACGTACAAACCAGTGGTAGGTACTTGACAAAGACTAGTTTTTTATCTATAATTCATTTAATGCAATTTGTAATATAATAAAAAAATCGATCAGAGGAGGAAAATCATAGATTAGATTTAGTCAGTATATTAGACCAAATTATAAAATAATGCTGAAAAATATAACAAGCAAACGTCAATGCTATCTGTCATGTTACTGGAACTGGAACACTTGGAACAGTAAAGTACCATTTGCATAAAAGCATATTATATTAATTTGATACACTATTTTTATTAGCTTCTTGATAATGCATACAGTTATTGTGCTTCTTGTATTTTTATTTAATTTTATAGGGTGAATTTTACTATATTAAATTTTGTGACTATGACAGCAGCCGATTAGTGACCACAGTACAACACCACGCAAAGAGTTTAATAAGTAGGTATCACCACGCCACACCACGATGGTGTATTTCTGCCATTACGAATATGAATAATAATATCATAAACAACACGAAACATTTCATAGAACTTCTGGCCAAAGACTAAAACTCTTATCAATGGCATGCTATTGTCGTTTGTACTTACCTTGTGATACTGTCAGTTCACACTTTCACAGTTGTCAATGTCAATAAATAAATAAATAATAAACTGAACGTGCATGAGCGTGTGGTGTGAACTGAAGATAACCTCTAAAATTCTAAATAAGTTCCTTAGTTTTACATATATATTTAATTAAAATGAAACGCAAATCTTCTGAAATTCAAGATGCCGAAGACAGGTATGTATCTCTATATTTAACATAAGGAAACAGGGAAGAAATATTAGACAGCTTTCATATTTACGCTGTGCCTATTTAATTTTGTTGCAGAGTTTCGCAGTTATTGTTTCATAAAACAAAGAAATTCGTAGAAAATTTACATACGACGGCGGAAGAAAAAGATGTTAGTTTAGACCTGAAACCAGCATGGGTTGATGAAGATGATGAAAACTTTGGAGCAAATATTATACCGAACATTAAAAGTACAGGTCTTTACACTGAAAAACTAAAGCAAAAATATGAAACCTTAATGGGCACTCCAAGTTGGGCTACTTTGAATAATAAGGCTAAAACAGACGAAGAAGATGATGAAATATTGAGAACTGTAGGACATTTACACAAGAAGAAAGTAACCCACTTACCCAAAGATTTCTTAGAGATAAAGAAATTCCCGTTGATCAATGCTGCAACTAAAAACGAGGGACCTATTGTATCTTGTGTTGAATTTCATCCTAAAGTAAGTGCTGCTCTTGTAGCTGGCCATTCAGGTGCAGTTTCATTGTTTTCTATTGGTACAGATGTAAATAACAAACTACACAACTTTACTCTTAAAAAGTGGCGTATAAGTGCAGCTCAATTTTCACCAGATGGATCAGAAGCATTTATTGCTTCTAAAAACAACCACACTTACTGTGTATATAATCTTGTTAAAGCTGAACCTAAATTGGTTCAGTTGCCTCGTGCAGTCAAGAAACCTGCAATTTTTAAATTGTCAAATGATGGTAAATATTTGGCAACTTCTGATGGCTTTGAAGAAGTATACCTGATATGTGCTGCATCCAAAGAGCTGTTGAAATCTCTGAAACATAACAGTAACGTAGCATCATTAGCATTTAGTCATGATTGCACACAGTTGTACTGTTACGGAGTTGAAGGACAAATCACAATATGGGATCTGTCCACACTCAGACCTTTAAAGAAATTCTATGACCATGGATGTGTAACAGCATCTTGTCTTTCTTTAAGCAAATGTGGTAAGTTGTTAGCTACAGGCAGTGGAGAAGGTATTGTCAACATTTATCAAACTGAGAACTTAAATGTACCTGAACCCGTTCCATCGAAAGTAATTTCTCACTTAACAACCAAAATAACAAATCTAAATTTTAATTCCACTACAGAAATACTTTCAGCATCTTCTGCATATTATCCAAATGCTGTGAAACTTGTTCATATTCCATCTTACCATGTTTTTGTTAATTTCCCATGCCCAAAATTGAACCACCATCAAATTGACACTGTAAATTTTTCCCCTAATAGTGGTTACATGGCACTCGGAAACAATAAAGGAAGTGCATTTTTGTATAGACTTAAGTATTATAAAAATTATTAATAAAATCTTTTGTAAGAATAGTTTTTGTTTTTTTGAAACATACTGCTGTACTCAAGTATAGACTCTTCTACACCTTTTTTAGGTCTTAAATCATCGTCACTCAACCAATTGACCATCATTAATTTTTTCCCTAAGAGGGAGTGTGAAACTCTTAGGGCTGAATCTGCGTTATGCCCGGTGCGACGTCTGCGCAGGCGTATACTAATTACTCCACGACCACGACGACTTGCCCCTATTTTAAACGGGCTCATTGGCTGTCGTTTTTAATTTTGCTCGTTTTTCTACGAAATATTAAATGATCGAGGACTCTCTATAGCTTTCGAGTCACACTCGAAAGTGATCGAGTACACTCGATAGTTTTCTTGAAACTTTCGAAAGTGATCAAGGACGCTATATTGGGATCAAGAATGCTCGATAGACTTCGAATTTAAGGCGCCACTGACAAGTACTTGATATTGCTTGCGTCGAGTGGGATTTTTTCCCGGCAATGATATTTCTTATGCTTTCTGCTTACTCTGGACAATGATTTTGACTTAGTACGTAATCAGTCGCTCGATTTGCCCCCACGGTCGTGCGCCCGCTTACGGCGGGCGTGCTCCGCACAACCATGACGATACGTAAGTATCTGTTCGGATACCTTTATATACGTATACGTACCTGGTGAGACTGATATTCTTACCCTATTTGTAGATTCACAAAGAAAATACCGCCTATCTCAGGCGTGCAAATGAGCCTGATGGCGAGTAAGCAATCAGCGCAACTCCTAAATACCCACCACATTATCAGTAATCAGAGTTACAAGTGCATTGTAGTGCAGACTTTTGCGGCTTGTGTTGGGGTTTTAGAAACCTCACTTGAACCACACACGACAAAAATGTCGGTTTTCTATGAAGGGCAAGTAACAAGTCCAGTTGAGCTGGATTGTGTTTTATTCAACTCATTACTATTACCCAGGTAAATTATGTATAACATTCAGATTGAATAGAAATCATAATTATTATGAAGAATTCAGAATAAAACAAAACTTTTGAGACAAAAAGTTTATTTATTAACTAAACTTCAGCTATTTTTATGAGAATAAAATGACAAGCCATAAAACCATTCAACCACAAATCATTACGAATCACAGGCCTATATTATGGTATGTTCCCATTACAACACCTTAAACTAGCATACAGTGCATTTAGCTATACTTTAATTAAATAAAACTTTTTATTATGTTTAATTTAAACATAAATAATATACTAGATAGACCGATAAAATAAAACGTCTAACATTTCCAGTGCATCTTGAAATTGGAGAAACTTTAAAAATACTGCCTACAATATTTTAATAAAATTGCGTACGTAACAATAATTGATCAATTACTATGCTACAGGTATTTTACCAGAGAACTTTTGACTTCATGAATATTTTAATAGTATATAGACGAGATGTAATAAAGTTCTGGTGGTGTGCAGCTTGATTTAAAGCTATGAATTCAATTGCAAAATTGCAATTTTGTATAAGCACTGAATATGTTGAAACAAAAAATATAATTTATGAAATCAATATTTGCTAACATGCCTTGATGGTTGATAAATACTAATGTTCGGAATAGATATAGATAAATTGAGTCTAAAAGAGGTATGTTGATAGAAAACTAAATCACAGTAAAGATTGTTACTTCACCAAATTAATTATTCACCTGAACAATGGACCTACATTGAGACTAAGAAGTTTAACTTAAAATTACATAAATAAGACCAGTTTCAGGAAAAAGCAGGTAATATTTAAACTAAATGCTTTGCTCACATTGGCCTCTTCAAGGACAGGATAATAGCAGTAGAATGTGATGTTTACAATATGACATAAATTGAAAAACTAGTAGCCAGTTACATATTATAATTTAATTAACAAGCTAGTATTGCCTTACACTTCATGAAATACAAATAGCATCATAATTAATGAGTTACATACAATGGAGTTACTTTACATGTGAATGTTTGAATAAAATGTTGGATTGAAAAAATGTAACTACTTACAAAAAAAGTTTAGTAAATAAAATATTAAGGTACATAATCTCAATGTTACAATGTGAGATAATGCATATAATCTACCCAATATTAGCTTGTAAAACTTCCATCAATATGTATATGACATAATTTTATTGCTATTAATATTTCAATTAGTAGTACTTTTGTTGGATTAGGTCCATCGCTGGCGGTTGTTTGGCGGGTATGCGGCGACGTCTTAGCTAGTGGCGCATTGTACTCTGTTCATACCAGGATGTTCGTCATCTTCCTCGTAAGCGTTGCCTTGGTGTGCGCGTCGCCGGCGCGTTTCTTGTTCTGGGTCTAAGTCAATCAACTGACATTCTTCAGCCAGTTCAGGAATCTCGATCTGTAATTGTCAGAAGTATATTTTTTATTTGAAGTTATAATCATCACATTTTCAAAGGAAGTGGTCATAGAGATTAAGGTCAGGCGCAATTGGCAAGACATTAATATGTATGACTGAATAATCAGCCAACATAAATATATTTAAACATATATATACATACATATTATAAATAGTTGAATAGTTACATAACGAAATAAAAGTTACTATACAAAGTAGACATATATTATAAGTTACCCTTGGGCGTGATGGGAGGCAGTTCTCAAGAGCAGGAATGACTTCAGGTGGAATGCGAGCTGGGAAGTTGACCAGGAACTGGATGATAAGCTGGCCCTTTTCAAACGGATTTTTGTACATTGGCATACCTGAAAGTTAATTAAATATAATAAATACCCCAATCAATCATAAAACATAATTTTTTAATTTACATTCTTTTTCAAAACATTACATACCTTCATTCAACACACACTTAACATCCCCATGCTTAGTAACTTCACCAGGAAGAACAGTTATCACAATATCCCTGTCATCTAGGGTCCGGATGACCTTCTGGAAGCCACAGAGTGCCTCAACAAGCTCAATGTTCAACCGGATTATGAGATCATTACCAGAGCGTTTGAAAATCTAGAAAGAAAACAAAAAATATTAATGATCCAAACCAATTTATCATTACATTGATAAAATATTACAAATTGTTTTTAGAATAGTTTAAAAGTTGATGTGTGAACTTACTTCATGCTCCTTCTCATCTAAAACTATAACAAGATCACCAGGCTCAAGCTCTGGTTCCTGATCGCCCTCTCCACTGAAGACAATCTTCTGGCCATCAGTCATACCCTTGTCAACATGGACTTCAAGAATTTTGCGGTCCCGCACAGTCTTACGTCCCTGTAATTTTACAACAAATGCATGAAACAAAGGTGGTAAAAATATAAATTGACTACTAATTTAAGGTGGAATGTCCTCATTAAAAAAGTTACAATACACTATACTACAGTAACTTACCTGGCAAACTTTGCAGCGGTCTTTGGGGTCAATAATCTCCCTCTGTCCACGGCATTCACTGCACACTGTCTGTATTTGGTGGATCATTCCAGGTGCCAATTGCTGAATTTGAACCTGCATGCCTGTACCACGACAAGTGGGGCAAGTCTGTACTGCACCCTAAAATATACAATGCTCATTAGTAACAGTTTTGTTATATAGGTTTTCATTTGTAGTTTGCACAACTATATTTTAGCTACCTTTTTGCCACCACGTCCCTCACATTTCTCGCAAATGACATTCTTCTGCAAAGCCAGTTTCCTTACAGCACCGCGGTAAAGCTCTTCAAGTGTTACAGACAGTTGGTGAATAACATCTTTGCCCTTGCGTTCACGACCACGTCGGCGACCACCACTGAATCCACCGCCAAAGAACATGTCAAACAAGTCCATGGGTGAGGAGAAGCCGCTTGCTCCAACTCCTCCCTCCTTCAAAGCTTGTTCACCACCTGAGATATTGTTATTATCACTTTTAAAACTTTGTCTTATGGTACAAACAGCAGAATACATTTTTAAGGATCATCATTGATTAGCATTAGTTAGCACATTTGGATAATAGGGTTATCTTAGAAGTTTATTTATTACAGTGAGGAATCCATAATACTTAATTATTCTTATTGTTAAAATTCATTGTATGAATAAGTTAAACAAAATATTAATCAAGAAATAAGAAGAGATATAGAAACACAATAACAAACCTTGGTCATAAATGCGTCTCTTGTCTGGATTAGACAATACTTCATAGGCTTGTGAAATCTGTTTGAATCTTTCTCCTTCATTTGGGTTTTTGTCTGGGTGGTATTTGAGAGCCAGTTTTCTGTAAGCCTTTTTCAATTCATCTGTGGTGCAGTTGGGTTTCACACCCAATATGTCATAATATGTTGTTTCTTTCACCATCTTGCCTGGATATTACAGAAATAAACAAAAATATTACTATTGTGCAAGTATTATATAGAGATCTAGAATATTCTAGTACCTAGCTAGAGGTAAACACTACCTATTCTATTACATAAAGTTAATCAAATAAAAGCAAAATTAAAGGACGTAGCTAGGCAACGTGGTCTAAAATCAATACCAATTTACAACTAGGCCCTTTTATTAAAGCCTTACGCGTGGTATATTTCCACCACCACACTATTCAAATAGCAACAAAGGGATATTATCCCAATTAGTCCAAATTATTAAATTGTATAATTATATAAGAATTTTTACAATCCATAGGAGAAAGTCCACGTAATGATAAAATAATATATAAAATGTCAAAGAAAATGAATTTTACGTTCAGACAACCAACACATTTTTGCAAATTACATAGTCAGTATACAATAATGAAATAAACTCACCTCGTCTATTTTATAGCTTTATAGAGTGTTAATCACAAATAAGAAAACTTATAGGGGCACTAGTTTGCAGTATTCACGAACACAGAAAACGAGTAGAACAAAAATCACGCCGTACAAGCACTTCCTCACACGAGATTCGTTCAACTTCAAATGACGTTTGATCGAACGAGGTGAAGAGAGTTGTCCAGTCGATGGAAGCACATTCGAGAAGCTTCTATAATCTAGTATTCACTAGCGGAATATAGCCAAGCCTATTTTTGGTTCAAACAAAATTCGTAAAGTGTAGACCATGCTTTATGATATTCACAACACTGGGTCCAGAGTCTCGATATTGATAGCGACTAAATTTTAAATAATTACTTTAGTAATTTGTTAATTTAGCTTCCAATATCTGCATGGATTTAATTCGTAGTAATTGACGTTCTCTGCCTACCCTCATGGGAGACAGGCGTAAAGTTATGTACGTATGTATGTTTAATTCGGATATAAATATCGTGAATATAATTATAAAACTGAAAAGTTTGTTTGTTTGATGGTACTAATTTGCGTCATTTATATAACCCTAACAGAGTCATGTATGATTCACTGTACTAGTAGTATGTAGGTAATACGTCTACATATGTACTATGTACATCGTGCAATTAAACATAAATAATCTCTGAAACTACTGATTCAAAATAATTTGTTTGGGTATAATAAATGTTAAATTAAATGTTCGTTTAATTTTAACGAGGAAGGCTATACAATATCATGGTACAATCAGCAAGACCTGAGCAATGGATAGTAAATATTTCATATTTCGACACAAAAATTAGGTTGAAAACTTAATAGAAATTCATTATAAGAACTTGGTGACCACAGGTCGTTACTAAAGTTGAGACTTCAATCCGGTGTTGCCTTTTAAAAAATATCAAGATTTGTCACTTTGACAGTCACTTGACAACTGTCAGCTTGAAATTTTGACAAACTTGATCAAACTTCACCAACTGCCCGCGCCGTGCCGTGTCGAGGTGATAATAGCTGTAGCAGTGGTTACGATTTCCTAGCTGATAACGGGTTGATTTTGATAAGCTCATTTAACTTGATAACGTCACTTGCTAAACGCGGTACGGCGCGTGTGCGTAGACCAGTGTGCAGTCTGCCAGTCTCGGTAGTCGTTGCGAATTCGTCGCAAGTTTTGTTTGCGGAACCCTCTGCTATTTAATTCCGTTTACTATTTACCTTTATAAAAATAAATAATGGCAGAAAAAATACTGAAGAACAGAGTTTGCATTATCGGCTCTGGTAACTGGTAAGAAGTAACAGTTGATTGTGATAAATATTATATAAAATATATTTCAATGCATGTGTAATTTGATCACTTGAACAAACGTCGAAAGTGTTGCTGTACTAGCTGACCTTTAACAAAATCATGACATAACAATATCACAATTTATGTTTTTAATCTTATATCATAAAATTTTGCTTTTTTCTTTAATTTAGTATTTTTGCTTTTTAAATCTAATCTAATTTTTTGTTATATTGTCAATATTATTAATTCAGGGGATCTGCAATTGCGAAGATTGTGGGTCGCAATGCTGCAAGACTGCCGAATTTCGAGGACAGAGTAACTATGTGGGTGTATGAAGAGATGATTGAAGGGAAGAAATTGACAGAGATCATCAATGAGACCCATGAAAATGTAAAATATTTGCCTGGACATAAACTTCCTCCTAATGTGGTGAGTACTCTACCTTATAACTCACCTTCCACACAGGTTCACAGAAAAGTTTGTTTTAAATTATTTAATTTTTGTTCCAATGTGTGACATTATAAAAAAATAAAAAACATTTAAGCAATTGAATACTTAAAACTACATGTTATATGTATTTAAACCCTAAACATTGCTTCTCTTATGACTAGTGAAGCTACATTTGTTCTTGACAGTGTCCATGTGAAGAACACATGTCCAATCTATTTTGGTGACAGTTCATTATCAAAGCAATTCAATGACAATGTTATCTCACAACCTCTTCTGTCAAAGGTGTATTTACTGCTAATGAAGTATTGTATTTACAGCCAGCAATCATAATTAAAGTACTATTGTCTACTACTATCAAAGTTCCAACTAGAAACTGGTATGAATAGAATAGAATGTCTACTAAAGAATGCATTATGTTTTTTTGGATGCAACTGGTAGACCTTGGTACAAAACATCTTTATCAATTTAAAAACAATCACTTATGCATTAATATTGTAAGTGTTAAAATATTTCTTTTGAAATATTGACTTATTGTTAATTAAGTAAACATAAGTAGTTATTAACTTTTATATTATCACTATGTTATAATATTAAAATCACTAAACTGTAATTTTCCATTTCAGTGATTCTGTTCTATTTATAAACATTTCATTGTCATGACAAGTCAACCAGATCAAAAAAAAAAACAACACAACAAATATTCATATTTAAAGAGAAATAATTGTCTTCAACAAATAAAAGTTATCTTTAGCCATACTAGGTAATTTAGTTATTTCCACTTCATAATGATTGGAACAAAAGAGTCTTTATTTGCACAATTAAGATCTTGCAGTGTTTCTTGACCTTGGAATTGATTAACTGTGACTGTGTTATATCTAGATGTGTGTACCTACTGTATTATGTAACTAACAATAACATAAATATGTGCTGTACCTACATAGATTTATCATATTTTTCCTTTAAACTTATTAACATACTTATGAGACATTTTGTCAGTAGTTTAGTAGATAATTTTTCAAAATAAGATTACATGTCTCTCAGTAGTGTCAGTAGTTAGATATACCTATTAGTTAAAAATACACTTTTGTATGAGGAGGCCTATAAAATTAATTTAAAATGTCAGTTAAACCTGTTTTATACCAAATATTTTTTTCTTAAATGGCCACTGTGACAATTTTTTACTTTTAATTATTTACAAAACGTATTTTTATATTATTCTTAATTCAAAAAAAAATTTTTTTTAATAAGAAGTTAAAGCTGAAGTTTCCTATAATCTTCTATATCTTTTGCTTTAGTTGATCAGAAAAAGCTCCTATTCATACACAAAAGGGTGTCATTGTCTTTGCTTTCATTGTCATTTGCTCGCGTCGCCGTCGTCATCAAAGTCGAGTTCATAAGAACAATACAACCCTTACATGGCCGATTCAGGAATAAACTGCTAGGACGCTGCTAGGGAACCATAGTTTTGTATTATTTGTTTATATATATTGTACTAGCATCTTCAGCTTCACTTTTTCTCTTTTTCTGCAGCTTCGTCCAATCCTTATCGGAATAATAATTTATTCTACTCTACCTATCCCTTTTCGAAGCTGACTCAGTGTAAAAAGTAAAAACTTACATCCTCAATTTTTTTGCACTTACGACATGATTAATAGTATAGGATAGCGAAACTAGTGACGAATTATTGAATTGTTTGACACAGGTTGCCATTCCAGAGGTGGTCGATGCAGCAAAGGATGCCGACCTTCTTATTTTCGTAGTACCCCACCAGTTTGTCAGAACTATCTGCTCTACACTCCTAGGAAAGATAAAGCCGACCGCGGCTGCACTTTCCTTGATAAAGGTACCTACTTATAATATTCATTTTGATTGCGTCTATATAAGTTATTACGCATTAGGAGTTATATAACTTATTTCATTGTTCCTTCCCTCAGGGCTTTGATATCGCGGAAGGCGGTGGCATTGACCTCATTTCTCACATCATTACAAGGTGCCTCAAAATCCCATGTGCCGTGTTGATGGGAGCTAACATTGCGTCTGAAGTAAGTGCCCACCTTTTCTCTACAAACTTTTTCTTTTTATGCATTTAATTATTTCCTCCGGCCGGCCTATTACGTCGTCCTACCGTTATGTAATTGGAGTATTACGAAATAATAGCTTAGGATGAGTCATTAATTAGAACATGTTTTGAATTTTTATGAGATCACTTTGAATATTACGTTAATTACATACTAGTAACTGTGTAGGTATATATGTTTATACAATTCTGATTCTCCCTATCTTTTTTGCGCTATGTAGTAAAAAAGTCTAACATGTCTTTTTATCATCAAAAATTCTTTGATAGTTTGATATTTTGTTAGACCTAAGAACAATTTAGCAAGTTTTATTCTAAGAAAATATTTATCTATAACATAAAAAAATAAGTTAAAACAATTACAATTAAATCGAACAACTAAATAGAATATGTGCTCGCAAAAATTTAAACAAGTTGATAAATATCAGTAAGTATTTCACAAAGAAAAATGTGATATTATTTTTTATCGTCGGTTGTAAAATTAGTTTTGCCGATTTATGGCCGATTAGAATTTGTATTAAAATATCAGATATCTATCGGTCAAATGTTGGCGCAGGCATTTGAAAGGAATTTTAATATCGTATTGTATTCCTACGATATGAGATACATGTATTACACACACAGTACACGTACGACTTATGCATATTGCTAATAGTTTTCCATGATCACTTAAAAAGAATCATGCCTACGTCTTTTCTGAAGGTTCAAGGCTACAGAGTTAACAAATGTTATATGTTGTTGTTAAGAAAAACAAAAATTGTTTAATAACTATCATTTGGTGGATCTAAAGCAGTAACTACCCGCCTTGTTTTGTGTAGTAACAAATTAGATGAGACTAGACTAAATGGAACCCAGTTATTTTGCAAAACGGTCATCAGCCACTGAAATAATGATAAGTATTGAATGAATGAAAGAAGCATTCCCAAAATTTTTGTTGACCTAACTATGACCCCCAATTCGTTTGCCGCAGCAAGCAGCTATGGAAATAATGGGGACTTCATTGTTCAGCAGTGGGTCTTATTCCATTTAATGATGATTAATAAAACTGATAGTTGGCGAACTTTAACAAATTAAGTAACAACAACAATTGTGTGTGTAACAAGATTTTTTATTGCCAACATCAAGATCAATACCTATTCTGAAATATTTATAAAATGTCATTAAGATGTCTGTGTCAAGGCAGTTTGTTCACGCGCTCGAAAACACTTAGTAACGTGTACTGGCAAATTGCCTATTCACGTAAACTTTATATTTTGTAAGATAAACTGTCTCAGCCACAATAGTTATTGCAAAACGTAGCAAAATTTAGTTACTATGCTCGTCCTTCACTTATCTGTTCAGAATGATAGTGATAGATGGATTAATTACTAGACCCGATCTAAATGATCCAATCTCGGATTACTATTTCATTTGAAGAAAAAAGTGGTTCCACTGTTACTTCTGCTTAAATCGTAAGAGATTTAGACATTCGTCCAAAAATTGATATGAATAATGGAAGAAACAATTAGTTTTAACAATATACCGTTTTAGGTGGCTGAAGAGAAATTCTGTGAGACCACGATCGGATGCCGAGACGTGATGCTTGCACCTATGATGCGTGACATCATCCAAACTGAATACTTCAGAGTAGTCGTGGTTGACGACGAAGATGCCGTGGAAATTTGTGGAGCTCTGAAGGTACGGTAAAAACCGATAAGTACAACGGTGTGAAATCGTTGATCCGAATAATTAATGTATCAATTCGTATGCGTAGAACATTGTCGCCGTGGGAGCAGGTTTCGTGGACGGCCTTGGCTTCGGTGACAACACTAAAGCTGCTGTGATCCGTCTAGGTCTTATGGAAATGATCAAATTCGTCGATGTATTCTACCCTGGCAGCAAGCTTAGCACTTTCTTCGAGTCCTGCGGCGTGGCTGATCTCATTACGACCTGTTATGGTGAGTTACTTACTATTTGTGACCTATCAGTATCAACTAATAAAACTAACAGTAACCAATAAAATTGAATTGTAACTGAAAACGGAAAGGGTTCAGCAACCGAACTCGCGAATTGCAACCACTTGACCCAACAAGCGAGACAGAAATAGATATTTATTATTACTGCTTAGATGCCTTAGTTTAATATTATGATCTATAAACGTGGCCAATAAACCCAAATTTCACATAATACGTAGACCAAGCTGTGTGTACAATTGCATGAAAAAACTTTTCCATCTCGTCGACTTACGCAAAGAAAATTGCACTGTTTATCTGATCATATGATTTATGTGTTTATCATTGAACGGGTTCAGAGCGGTTATATTCCTCTACTTATGCACGGTACGAGCTATATGTGTATACTCTAGGTAATAGATACGTATAGGTGTACACTGTGCAGTTCTGCACTTCACTAGAACATCGTACCTTCTCTATTTACTTCGTTGAATGCAAGGTATTAGATAGAACAACGCATAGTAATGGTACTATGTTCTCAGAGGCGTTACATTTACATTACGCCAACCTATCGATTAGCCACGTACATACATAGTTGTAAAATTTATCTAACGCAAACATTTTATCGAGTGCTATAGGCAAATTTCGTGCGTTGGGAGAATATGATCGGTCTACGAAATTATCAGCTTGAATAAACAGTTGTTGTAAACTTGAGATTCACCTTATGGAATACTGATAAATGATATCGGTGCAATCAAGTCTAGTAACATAAGTACTATATAAGTATTTTTCATTTGCTTCGCCCTTAAAGCGAGTTGAGCGATTCGATACTCTGCAGAATGATTGCAATTCTCTCTTATTCCTGATTGGCTTGTTGACATCTTGAACTCGATATCTTACCAACTGGATTTATTCGCGCTTGGGGTATCGCAGTATCGCAAGTAAATTGATAGCGGTCTATCATTAGAGAGATTAATGGTAAGTATAGCTTAACAGCATAAACCGATACGCGTTCAGTTTTGCACTATTGTACCGCAGTGCTAAATACTAATCAAGTTTATTTTTTACTCTTTGACCGATGATTATGTATTCAACGAAATATCACCTTGAAAATATCGTTTAGAGCTAATTGCTATAAAAACGCAAAACGATATTTTATTGTTGCTTAAAAATGAACGGAGGCATTTATTTGGTACTGATTGCTTAATTTGATAAGCTGTTATGTAAAATTAAGGCGATTTAAATGCCGGCGATGCACAGTGCATTTACTTAGTAGGTACAAACATCTATTTATTATCTAATGGGGACAAAGACCGCGGACATTGACCGGTACATACAATATTTTGTACTCGTTCAAGAAGCACTTATTTTTCCTACATTTATTAATTGTTGATTCATGTTCAATGAATGACAAGCAATAATTTGTGATTATGCTCTATTGGATATATGACTATTGTAATTTTCCCCACATTAAAAAAGGGTAATTGATTAAATTATACCTGGCTACGGAACATATTTCTTCATATTCAATTTATTCACTTCTCATGTCGTAATTTACGTTTCTAAATCTCGTACTATTGGTCACTTGGTCGCTATGTTAAAGTTATAATGGTTTAGAACTGGTATAACTGGTTATTACGACAAGTCGTAATCAAAAATGTGAACGGAGTTTGACACACCCCCTTGCGATAAAGCCAAGTCGATTGTGTTGATTAAAACAGTAATGTTTTAAATAAGTAAGTGGCGGAAGCTCAGTGGAACTATTTTTTGCCAATACTTGGCGTTTGAGGAAGCTATTCAGTAGTATTTGTACGACAACTTCCGCGAAGCTAAAAATAAGTAGCTACCGCATTGGACAACGCGATTTGTTAATAATATGACGGTCTTTTTTATCAAAATTTATAGATATTTTACTCAATTTTCCAGAAACTTAATGAATCTTTATCAGAAATGTAATACAAATGAGGTTTTATAATGTAAGAAATACTATTATTTTAGGTGGTAGGAACAGGAGGGTAGCGGAGGCCTTCGTAAAGACTGGCAGGTCTATCAAAGAGCTAGAAGACGAGATGTTGAATGGCCAGAAACTTCAAGGACCAATCACCGCGGAAGAAGTCAACCACATGCTTGCCAACAAAAACATGGAGAACAAGTAAGAGCGATACAACAATATCGAATTTTAATGCCAATTTTAACGTCCTTGTTTAATCATTCATAGGACAACATATTACAACCCATTACAGATAACTTAAACTGCAATGTTTTATGAGGCTCTGTAAAACAATAAATACGCAGTTGATTAAAGTCGGAAACGTATTTAAACGACTTTGTTTAAGCGAATAATGGCGCGTAAATAATGTTCCATTTAAAGAACAATTTTCTTACATTCTCGTGCGCGACATACGGAAGTGTTGCGTTGTTGTTGATCTCAGAACTCGTAGATAACGACGGGACAATTATAATCTGCAGTGATATAATCGGTCTGTAGGTTGAACTAAAATAGTTCGTCTTGGCTTGCATCCACTCGTCACTTGAGGTCAGTGGTGCATTCAATGAAGGATATTGCAGTGTTTCTGCAATTATTTCATGCATAAAAGCTATTTTAGGCAGTTTATGTAACCACTTATCAAAGTTTTGACACCTAGTAAGGCCCTATGTATTGTATACCTTTCAATGTTTTTTTGCTTCTCTATACTGATTGATATTATGTAAAGTAGCCGTTCCTATGTTCAAAGTCAATGTCAGCCTGAACATAATCATTTGTCGGTAATCCGCACATAATAAACATTGACACTAAGCCAACTATCTCAAAAATTGATACTTGGCTTCTCTCTTGATAACCGTGATAACTGCATACATTTGTTCAGTTTTAATTTTGTAGGAATGTGATTGTGCCAGTTTGAATACACAAGGCCAATGAAGACATTAGTAGGAAATACTTTGATTGCTTAGTTTTATACATAGAGTTTTTCGCAACTAGATGTATCTCGGGCATGTATTTGCACAGTCCATAGTTATAGACTCCGGAAGCTATAGATAGGTAGTAGCTGCATTGTTTGTGGAGCGAGGGCAAATGAATGGACGATTGTTTCCAGGTTCCCTCTATTCACCGCCGTGTTCCGCATCTGCCGAGGCGAGCTGAAGCCCAGCGACTTCATTAACTGCATCCGCAGCCATCCAGAACACATGTAAGATTACGCCATCACTTGCATCCGCTTCCTTCTCTGTGTAGCTTCTAAATTAGACATTTAGAGCATAATAATGTATGTAGAATAGAGCCGATTAACTTATTGTGTACATAACATGATATGTATATGTATGTTTATTTTACAGGGTGCTAGTACTTAGATATGAATAAAATTATTATACGTAATACAAAACGATGTACTGTTTGGCTGCACTTTTAATGAAAGCATTGAATTCTTAATTAACATATTTTATGCTTGCTTCGCTGTTTTAATTGCCAATATATTGAATGCATGGTGAATAGAAGTTCTTTATCAAGTAATTAAAACCTACTATGGAATTCAGAGAGTGATTTATGAAGGTAGTTATTGTGATTGGATCGTTAACGAACAACTTATTCAGTGAAATGGAAGAAATGTGTTTGTAATCGATGCCGTGCAAAAGATCTGGTCGAGTGCAACCATGCATTACATCAATTGTTTGTAAAACTATAAAGCATGTAGTAAACATAGCTGTATAAAACTGACACCCGTTGTTATAATAATATAACATGTTTCTAATAATGAGTAAGCGTCATTACTATTATCTATTCTGATGTATTATCTGTCAAATAAGCTAACCAATATCGCCGGCGGATCTGTTATCGACGTTTAGGCTAGTAGCTACAGAATAAATGAACATATTCGAGTGGTTGTTGTTCAGATAGCGTTTATTGATGTTGTGGAGTTTGGTGTAGGCGCTAAGTACAAACAAGTATACTGCGTAACGTTACCGTTGTGTACCAACTGTAGTGTAATATATCACTAGATACAGTTATCTTTTCAATTAACCTATATATTTATATTGCACGTTAGATCTAATATAGTTTATTTGTATCTAAATACATAGTTGATTAAAGCGTAAATATTTGTTGAATAAAATGTCGTACTTAGAAAATGCTAATATTTTTCATTCTCCTTATGTTTAGTGATCCTGTTCTCTTGTTGTCTGTCTTCTACACTTGTATTTGACTTGGTACCTGGAAAATATGTCATCTAAATGGGTACAGGACCCTATGCCCATACTTAATGTACATGTTTTTACCATTAATTGTTATGATGTTGAATTTTTCAGATTTGCTCCCAAGAATATTAGTATTTACTGAATGCTACCCTGAAAAATACTTTTTACTAATCAAGTCTGCTGCATTTTTGTATGTTTTATATGCATGTTGTGTTGTTAATAATCATGTTTATGGTTTGTAGCTAATTATTTGCATGTTATTTTGTTTTTAATAAATCTCTTTTTTGGAGAAGGCTTTGTTTATGTTGCCGTTGTATAGTTCACTCAATCATCACATGTTCAAGCTTTAAAAGGTTTCAAAGACCTTAGGTAATAACTAAATGCAGGTTAAAGTTATAGGTAGGTACGTGTTTTGTTTAATTGTTGATATCTAACCAGATTGTTCATCATCATAATTAAAGAAATAACATGTATTTTTACACTAATATTCTAGGAAACAGCCGACGCCCAAATGTTCTCTGTGACCAAAGTGAGGCGCCTTCAGAATCAGTCATCAACATGAAACTGTCGCATTTGTCGTCCGGCACGCAGCATAATTATCACATAACACACACACCCACACACGTTAATATTTTTCCAATTAGAAATTTAAACGCTCTACGCCTTTATATTTTAACAACGTAAAAGTAATGCGACGTTATCAAATCTAATAAATACAAAAAATGTAAGGTGGTAGGTACTAACTTGACCATTTACCCAAATGAATATCAAGTAATTAGTATTTGGAATAACAAAATACAAATTCGTTCAGTAATATATGGCCTTGTTCGTTTATCTTATCAATACATTCGAGCGTGATGTAACTAATTGGAAAAAGATACATAATAAATATCATTATTGCATGAGTGTCCACCATATTTTTGTGAAATGTTGTGTTACACTTTTAATTTTGTTATGTAGCTGTCCGCTTTATTATAATATTGCATAACATAACGTTATGATTTCCGTCTACATGTATAGCTGTATAGCTATGTTTGTTTATAGGTGTACCTAATCTAGAGAACGAATGCGTGAATTTTAATGAAACGCTCGATGTTATATAGCTATAAAATAAACTTAAAGAACTGCATGCGGACTGGTAGTGTAAGTAAATGATTTATCAATTTGTTGAGTGAATAAAATTCTATCAGAGAAAGCTTTTAATATTATCAATAAATATCACACTGAAAGTTTAAGTGTGTTTATTCCAATCGAGTGATTTAATCTATTGAAAAATAGATAATATACATTGTAATACTTGTAACGGTTAGTTATCTTAAAAAGGTGGTAGGTTTGTGTGAACTTTTATATAAATGGGTTAGGGTCTTATAATTCTAAGTCGGTTCGTGTCTAACCAATGAAGAAAGCCATTATTCGTCTAGTCTGTATTTTTTTATATTATTTTTGCAACGTATAAACTAGCTTATGAGTTGTAGCTCTTTCTGTAATTTTTATAATGTATTCTAAGTGCAACTAAAGTGTGAGATGTGTACCTATTGTAACGTACCACCTCGGATTACATATCCATGGGAATCATAATAACTGAAGTTCATAAATTAAACCATATACACAGTTTCGACATGTCATTCATAAAGTAAGTTGTACATTTGACTGCACATTAGTGGTAGCACTGAAACAGAAAGCGTCTTTATTTAGTAAGCAATAAGGACGAGTATCCTATTGAAAGTCTTACTGCCGTGTGGTCAACTGTATCCTTGATTCATTTGGGAATGTTTAGAAAAACAGAAGCCTTTATTATCGATCCGGCCAAATTCACTGCTTCCAGCGTACATCACATTTATTTTTTTCAGGATACGGATAGTTAGAAAGACACAAAAGTCACATTGCTGTATAACTTAAAAATACCAAAGGTAAGGTTAGAAGGCTTCTGTTTTTTATGTTTACTGTACATGTACATAAAGCGTAAATGATTAAAACATGTTATATCTATGAATATAAAGCATATTTAATATCGGTCTATTATTTCATTACGATAACCATCGGCTACCATTGAAATCTTAGGCCTGCAATCAAACGTATCGACAGTGACTTTGACTTCTTGTTTTGATTAGAATTACGTCAATACATTTGTGTTACCGATCAACGATTGATTGTATCTGTTCTAGAATGGAATTTGAATGTATCAACATTCGACTTCACTCTAGGATATGGGCCCAAGTGAAAACTAACAATAATATTTTAAGTATAAAATGGGTACTTTAGTTATTAGTTATTCAGCAACGCTTGGCCTCAATAACATAGGTAGTTATGTCATGTTTTCATTACATTTTATTTACATAAAATTTTTGAGTTATAGTGTGACAATCGGCTTATGTGTTCAGCTCGTTTAGAGTAGTATCATCTCATTGTCACTGGTAAGTATATGGGTATGTAATTTTGTATAAATGTTGTAAATATCTTAATACACATTGGCATTGTATTGCGGGTTCGACACCTGTAGTGGGAAAAATGTTAAGTGACACTTGTATGTAGTACAAGAACGTCTTGCACAGTTGGCACAGTGGCTGTTTGGGTGACCAACTGCTGTGCAGTGTTCCGGGTTCTATTCTTAGTGCGTTGTGTGATGTGAAAGAAAGTGTTAGCAAATGCTCCCAGGACATGTACCATGAAATCATATTTTGAAAGAAAACTTGTGGCATTTTAAAATAGATAAGGATAATACATAGGATGATACGGATTTAGCTAGACATCAGTATTTTTACACGACGATATGACCTCTACAATCCGCTAAGGGATAAGGGTAACATCTTTTATGATTAGACCCACTTTCAGAGCTTTGTACAAGAAACATTTCAATATAGTACTGATTAATGTCTAGTTTCTGGCTAGAAATGCGCGGTAAGTCGCCGTAAGCCGCCAAAGCTAAATTAAATTTTGATTTCCTTCTTGGGCAAAAACAGTTCAAAGTACACAACGTCAGTCAAACCCACCTTGGACTGCAAACTTTGTTATCCTCTCTATAACGCTATTGACTTGCTAATTATATTTAAATTTACACTTAGTCATATCAACAAGTATTAATAGAACATAACTATGTAGGTAACTCCTTTTAATTTATGCTTCAAAGATGCAAGTCTCGAGATTAGTGAAAGTGTGGACGTTGTCACGCTATTTAATGCAAAAGGGGATTTCCAGGTGACCTATAGAAATAGAGTGTGAACTTAATTACTGTGGCAGCAAGTCAACCTAAATCAAACTGTATTTTCTTTTCATCGGATTTTCGACCTTATGTCAAAACAATAAAGTTGAAAAGCGAATAAAGGAATTTGACAGAAAGGCGATGCGATAACCTGCTGGCGTCTGTACCGAACTTGTGCAAGAATCAACGCAGAGGCCATTCGTTAAATGTATCCAGAGATACGCAATTCAACAAAAATACCCCTTCTGATTGCCCTTACCTACTAATTATCTTTCGTTTTGATAAATTAATGTGAAACTGATTTCTATTTTTTATTTTCAGGGTGAGAGTTTGATGACGTAACATCATAGTTTTCTACTAGCAAATGAATTTAGAACAATTATATATAGTTCAACCAAGTAGCTAATAAGATAGTTTTCATGTAGATTCTTCTGTCTGTCTAGTCTATTAATGCCTAATACTGCCATAGGAAATGAATCTTTATAGTACATGTTGAATTAGATTTTAGGTAAAATAAAGACAAATATTGTTTTTACTAACACAACTTTCCACTACAGAAGTACAGACTATGACCTACCCTACTAACAAATATTTATTTTATTCCTATTTTTATATAATTATTGTAATATTTATGTATTTATGTTTATAACAAATTGTACACTGCGTTTAATGGTGTAGTAACATCTAATATCTTATATATTTTGTAATATGTAATATACATTACTATAAAATTAATAAAACTTATTACTTATTTTTCCCCTAATTGTAGCCTGTTAAATCTCTTGTTAACAAATAACATAATAAAACTGGCATGAAAGAGGTATTGGAATAAAAACAACGAAATAATAATATCTAATATGTATTTTAAGTATTTATTGATTTCTAAAAACTGTACACTCTCTTTTATCTATGGGAACATTTTTTATATAACCGTTATAAAAGTCTAGGGCGGATATTTGCCTTTTGCCTATTATCCTAAGAGATCTAAAATAAACATATCTTCGGTCTTTGCATAATATTCTGATTGCATTTGTCTTATCACAATATTCTAGTGTCCCGATTGGTTTATCACTATGGCTTATGGTATTGTCATTGAGAAATGCTTCAAATAGTTTCGTTCGTTTATCCTTAAATGTGGTAGTGAGTGGGTACACTCCGTATAAAGCGCGGTATAGATTGTACACTTCGACTGCCGACATCGAGGACCATCGTACTTCACTTATACTTTTGTGTATTTTCTTAGCTGTAATAAAAAGAATAGTTACATTAGATGGTGCCAGATTTTGGTAAGTATTACTATGAACTTCTAAGACTACGACTGATTCGTTGATTAAGTTGTCGCAAATACGACAGCCATCAAACAAGGGATCTCAGGTTCGATTCCTAGGTCGAGCAAAGTACTAAAATTTGCAATTGACTTGACAAGTATAAACAGGCTGCTGAAGCATTGACTAGTGCAGGTAGGGCTGCCTCTTTGGTTGAGCCAGTTCTCAATTTGGGTGCTCTATGACTTTTTCTTTATTTTTACTGAACTGACCTCATAAGCAATTGAAAAATAAAAATAATTATTTACCATAAGTGACTCCCTCTGAACTCTGTGGCTGTGCATTTTCTAAGCTTGTAGGTAAACTCCTAATACATTCTACCAGCATTTCTGCACCATATTCCGAGAGTTGCTCAGTGAGCTCCGGTAGTCTTATATCCTTGGACACTGGTACCCTTATTTGACTTATTATTTCACCTGTGGAAATTTAATAATTATTATTATTAACATTCACTAACTCGGTTAAAGTTTTTATGGGTATAGTTTTAGTCTATGGTCTGATGAGTCTTTTATTATGATGTTAATTTGTCTATGACAAGTAAACTACTCATTTCTGAATTCAATTTGTTGTTTATAGTTTAAGAGAACTCATGAATTCTGACGGACTGTATAGGTCATAAATAGTTGGTATCCATATTACAAAGTTTATATAAAAAAATATTTCATTGAAAAGAGACATTTTTAATTAAAAACCTTGTTCAAGATATAGCCTTATATTTCTACTAGCTACATGCGCGCGGTTTCACCCTCTCTGCTAGGCTCGTATTAGTCGTAGCGAGATGTTTTATAGCCTTGCCTATTAGCCTAGCCTTTATTGCCTTGCTTTACTCGATAAATGGATTATCTAACACAAAAGTAATTATTCAATTTGAATCATCAGTTTTGGAGATTAGCACGTTCAAACAAACAAACAAAAATACCAACTCTTCAGCTTTATAATATTAGTATAGATGATAGATACATTTAAAGTATGCTTACCCACATCAAATATGTCTGCTTTAATCTTCATAAGTGTGACTCCTGTGACCTGATCTCCATGTAGCAGTGTGTGGATAATGGGAGCAGCTCCCCTCCATCGCGGTAGGAGACTTGGGTGAACATTCACCATGCCACTGTAAAATATTATTAATTTTTAAGTAATATTGTTAATCTATATTGAGATGATGATAAATATTATCAGAAATAAAATTTAATACAATGGTTAAAGAAACAATAATTACAACTAACTTTTTTATGTTTTTTGTATGGGTATCTTATTCTTTATTAAATTTGTAGCCAAACACTACGCAATATATTAATTACACATAGGTAAAAAGTAATTTTAAAACTTACAGAGGAAACTTATTCAGGAGATCTTCTTTAATCAGATGACCAAATGCAACTATTAATCCCAAGTCATATTCAGCAGGTTTTAAGTTATCTAACGGCCATGTCACTGTATTTATATTTTCGTGTTCAGCAAACTTTATTATCTCTGTTTTGTGTTTAGTATTCGTAGTGACTAAGTCTAATCGGTCAATCAGGTGATTCTCCTTTTTCCTGAAAGAAATTTGTGTTATACGTTTCGATTACAATAAGACCACCAAAAAGGAAACTTATAGTAATTAAATTTAGAGTATCTAAAGAATATACATTTAATTCTTTGAAAATCAAGCAGTTTGTTATTATATTTTTGTCTTACCTGAATTCATTTATCTTTCGCAAACTACTAAGTGCAATACCATCTGATCCAAAAAAGAGAAGTTTGTACGATTTTGTGGCGGCATATTGTCTCACAAATAAGTGATTTCTTTTAAATATAGTTTTCAAAAAGTGAGATGATAGGTTAGGAATCATTTCACTAAAATATAATGACATTGACGTTTGATGTTAAATGTCAGCGTCAAAATTGATAGGTAGTGCTATTGACAGTGTTACCAACCGCTCCCCGAAATGATGCGTTCGTAACTTAAAATTTTCGAAAGAATATAACATCGAGTCTTTTAATCATTTAACGTCCCAGGACACAAGTTGAGTGATATTATTATAAGTTATTAGTGAGTAACTCTCTCATTGCGTTGACTTAATGACGTGAATTATGGCTTTCGACACCTTTCCATTCTTCGTGGTTCTTGGCCGTTTATTTTTCCGTTACCAGTTCCAAACTTCCTCAGATCTACCACATCTCTCCAGCGGTACCTTTTTCGACTACGTTCTGGGCACAGAACATAAATATTCTTATAGTCTCGAGGTACCTATGCTTTCTTAACATTTACTTCACATATTTAGATTATGTTAGGATTTTCCAAGTATCTCGACTATTGGGTGGAAAGGGACTTGAAGGTATTTGATGATGACGATGAAAATATTTGTGCAATAAAATTAATGTTAGTCAGGTCGTAATTTTTTATTCCATAACATTGATCGTAGATAATTAAAATATAATTTCAAATCTCTATACTAATGTCTAACTGTCTACAGGTAGGTACACAAAGTAGGAATCAGTAGGTCTGATAGTATCTATCTACATAATAACATTAACAATATTCTTAACGACTAACAAAATAGAGCTTTATACACCTGTAATTGCCTACTAGAAAATGGAGATGAAGTTACATTTAATTACATTATATCGTAACTTACAATACAAGTCGAAGGTAAAATAGATATCGAACACGACTAATCTCAGCACCTGACATTATAAAAAAGACATGGGTGTATGAATTTATCTACAGCGACAAATCTTCTTAATGATACATTTATATGCATGTATACATGTAAGATAAAAAAATAATATTCTGATTAATTGAAACGTCTCTCTTTTGTATTTGAATTTAAAGTCCGTTGATAAAATTGGTAGCTGTTGATCATTCTTGGAACATAACATTTTTCAACAGTACCTACTTACATTATATACATAAGTAAATTGGTAACATCCAAATTGTTCAATACGTATGATATTAAATGCTAATGTCTGCTAAAAAGCTCGTGGTTAACAAACGCTCGTGGTTAGCATGGAAACAGTGGTGCTACTAATTTATAATAGTCTACTTTTTGTCCTTGTCTTCTGATTCTCGTGTTCTTCATGTCTACTTCTAGGCAAGTGTGCACCCTCACGCAACATGTCTAATGTTCAGATCAAGTGAAGTAGTAATCAAATACGATTTTTTTATCTTAATCATTGTGGTCTAAAACAAATGCAGTGCATTTTTACTCCAGAAAGGGCTTTGTATGCGTTTAGTGTAAACACCCTGTTCTTCCATTGTAACTTCCAACATCCATCTTTTCTACTCATAGGTTTATTTTTGCCTGCTATACATGCACATGTTTTTAATGAAATAAACTTTTTTAAACGGTCACTGGTCTTCTTGGTCACTGGTTTGTGACCAATTGGTGCGTGTAGAACGTCGGTGGAAACTTTTCTTTTTCGAGAATTTTGGCTTAGTGTACCAGGAAGGCGGACTTACGACGCTATTTTCTAAACTTTTTATACTCATACTAGTTTGGGAGTCCTGTCTCTCTGCCACTTTCGATGATATTGTCTTTACCTTGACTTCACGCTTTTCATTCACCTGATAAGGTATATCTTTCATTTCAACTATTTCCACTTCAGTGTCACTCAAATCCTTACTTGGTCGGTGTACTCTGGTGGTATCAGTGGAATACCCTATCGTTTTCATCGTTCCACCCATTCGCTTTGATTTATCCCTGAATAACAATTTCTTGAATTCTTTACGAAATTTTGGGTGAGTTATAATATAAATAAATGGATTAATGCATGCGGCTGTTTTACAGAACAATGCGGGAATCATTGAAGTTATTGGAGTTAAAACGTCCTTTTTACCGGTAATGCCCAATAAAGCTACAATGGCATATGGTGTCCAAGATATGAAAAATAGAGCTATGACTGCCATAACTAGAAAGGCTAATTTTATTTCAGCTTTTCGTTTGGTGCGCTCTTTTACGTGCCTTGATGATAGTCGTTGATCTTGGTTGCCGTAAGACATACTTGTATTGAAAACAACGACTCGGAATATACTGATGTAGCAAAACGTGATAGTGCAGAATGGCGCAAGCCACGCTGCACAGAAGAAAACAAAGATGAAACATCGAGGTGAAAAGTCTTCAGTGAGATAATCAAAACTACAACTCGTCAAGTAGCCTTCTGGAACGTAGCTACCATAGCCGATGTCTAGAGCTGGTATTATTGCAAAGACGCATGCATATAACCATGCACCTATTGCTAGTAAACGAGCCCGTATTGCTGTCAGTGCACGCAGCGGTTCCAATGGTCGAACGACCGCCCAGTAGCGATCCAGAGCGATGGCTGACAGCGTGGCAATGGATGTGGTGCCAGTCAAACCACCCACGAAGCCGTAAATCACGCATCCTGTAACGAAAATGTTTTATTAAGATACGCACACTGCCTTAACCATAAGGTTTTCTTCCGGACTCTACTTTTCCGTTATAAACAGAATGTAAAAAATTACCAACATAAATCAAGGATTTTCACCCCTATTGCTACGGCTCGTTTGTTGGAGAGTCAAGGCATCGCCGGAGGTGATAATAAAGTTGAAAAATGAGAATGCTATTGAAGAAGGTACTTCTGTTGGATTTCTTGGTATTGGTATCAAATAACATATGAATCATATGACAATAATATTGGCAAGTACGAACAATGCGAAATTAATTTCTTTCATATTGGACCGCCACGAGTTAAAAACTCCTTTTGTTGTATTAGGTAATACAGACCAATATAAATACCTACGTAACTAGGTATGTTTATTAGTATTCCTTTCATGAAATCATCAAATGGCTTGAACAATGAAAGAGTAACAAATTCAGTGATCCTTACAAATTTTCGCCTTTATAATAGTAAAAGAATTAACGTTACCAACTTACAGTTTAATTTAATCCCTTTATTACAAATAGTTTTGACTTGTTGAGTTGTTCGATTTCACAGATGAGATATTTCGTAATTTCATTAGTTACGAACGTTTTCAAGAGAAGATATAAATAACTATTAATAAAAACAGTCTGCCTTGATTGGATACCATTTTTTGTTATTGGAAAAGTTAATGTAGTTACCTAAGATTAATTAGGATATACACACGAGTAATTTATTTATGACTTTTATTAATTTATTTATTATTACACACACAAGTTAACATTATTACAGGTTTAGGACCCAATGCGATAATTAGGTATTATAAAATCTAGCGACACCTTACACCATATTAAACTTATACAAACTAATATAGAAATCCAAATAATATATAAAATATTAATCAGATAGGTAATTTAGGGTTAATTAAGTAACGTACCAGTTTTTCCGAGAGCAGGTCCGAGATTAAACGAGTTGAAGATGAAAATTGGCGTTTTCGCGAGCATCAGAAAGTCGCTGAGCGCCAGGTTGGCCACGAGGATGTTCCCCGGAGTACGCAGCGTGCGGCATCTGAAACACATTAATCATACCACTTTGATCTTTGTCCACAACTAGTACATAGGAAGGTAATTAAAATAGAAACGTGCTCCAATTTCGGACGCCCGCTGTGTAAAGTACTCCGATGGTTGTTATTTGTTACTGTCATAAAATACTGTTTATTATCATTGCACTCATATGCCTGCACGGTTGGCGCGGTGGCTGCGCAACTGGCTGACGCGCAACGTGTAGCGGGTTCGGTTCCCGCACGGAGCAACTCTTTATGTTATCCACAAATTGTTGTTTCGGGTCTGGGTGTCATGTGCCACGACACAGGAGAAAATCCTAGTGTAAGGCAAGGGGTTTTTTAAGAAAAATGTAGAAAATAAATGAATTTGCAATTGTTTGTAATGCTTAAGTAAATACATAATAACATAACATCACGCCTTTTATCCCCGAAGAGGTAGGCAGTTCATCATAATGTAATAATGAAACTTTTCACTATTTATGTTATGAGTCCCATGTAATAGGGGGTGAGCTTATTGCCATACCGGGCACAATTCCAGACTCCGTGCTACTACTGGGAATTTATAAAAACCCAGTAGTACTTTGCGCTACCCGGGAATCGAACCCGAGACCCCTTACCGCCGCAGTCGCACTTGCGACCACTCGGCCAACAAGGCAGTCATTAGAGGCAACGACTTAAATAAATACAAATTAGAAATATACTAAAAGTCCTACTTATTTATAAGATGAATACTGAATACAATATTTTCATTACACATCACCGTAAGAAACGCAGTCTTTTTTTTTTTTTTTTTTTTTAAGGGGAGAAAATCATCGAATGACTGCTCCCGCCTGGGTGAGGCGGAAGGGAGTGTCAGACTCTTACTGACTAAAAACCACCCCGTTCCTTCTCCTGCACGTCGAGCCGGAGCCCCGGTTACCCGTTAGGTTCTCCGCGACTCCGAATCGGCATCGGCCCTATTGGGCCCCATCTGTGGTGGTCTGATGGCTCTTTGAGGCGCGCGCGGAACGCGACGCGCCGTACGCTCGGGTCTGTTTCTGGTCGGACGGGGAGCCACCCATGCTCGCCGTCCGCAGGCCCGCGCTTACGGTGGCCGGAGATCGTCCCGCGATCCCCGACGCCCGGTGTGTCCTTCGCGATGGCTGGGTCGCGAGGAGGCAGCGCTTCGCTGCCTCACGCGTCCCGCCTCCTCCTTAGCTAGCATGACTGCTTCGCAAAAGGAGGAGACGGCATCCCAGTCCCCCTCGCTCCGCATCATGGCCTGCACTAGGCCCGGACGCGAGAGGTCGCCATCGCCGATCACTTCCCTGAGGGCACGGCGGTGCTCAGCCCACGCAGGGCATTCCGCTACGGTGTTCCACCGTGTCCTCAGGGCGGTCCTCGCAGTGATGACACCCGGGCGTTTCCTCCCGCCCCATCAGACACAGGTACCTCCCGAAACTTCCATGTCCGGTGAGGACCTGCGTCAGGCGGTAGGTGAGGACGCCGTAGCGTCTCTCAAGCCACTCCTCAAAGAGGGGACTTACCGCTGCAATGGCAGCGAGCCCAGCCCTCGGTTGCGACAGTCGTTGCTGCCATTCCGCCATGAGATCGCGCCGGAGCTCATCCCGCCACGCACTTATCTGGCGCGGCAGCGGAGTTTCGCCCCGGCGACGTGCCTCCGCGCGCATGTTATACACGCGCGCGAGCACCTTCGCCTCCAGATCCCACGGCGGTAATCCGGCAAGGAGGTTCGCCGACTCCCCACGATCGTGCGGTATCCGCGGATCATTCGGATCGCCATGACCCTCTGTGACTTGAGCAGCGTCCGAGCAGGACGCCGCAACAAGTTCGGCGCCCAAACAGGGGCGCCGTAGAGGGCCATGGACCGCACGACCCCGGCGTATAACCTCCGGCAGGAGGCGTTTGGCCCCCCGAGGTTGGGGAGGATGCGTTTGAACGCAGCCCCCGTCCTCTCCAACTTTGGAGCCAAACGTCGGAAATGCTCTATGAAGTTCCACCGACTGTCGAGGACGAGTCCTAGGTACTTCATCGCCGTCTCGACGCCGATGGTAACCCCCCCGCCGTTATTTGGGACCCACCCGGAGGTGGCGCGTTCCCGCGGCCATGAAAACACATGGCCTCGGACTTGTGGAGCGCCACCTCGAGTCCCAACTGCCGGATTCTTTCAACGACTGTCGCAACCGCTGTCGCCATTAAGTCGGCCGCCGCCTGGTGCGACCTCCCGTGCGCTAGCACCAGCGTGTCGTCGGCGTAGCATATTGTGCTAACGCCGTTCGGGAGGTCGGTGCGCAGCACCCAGTCATAGCCGATGTTCCACAGGAGCGGCCCCAGAACCGAACCCTGTGGAACACCGCGTGACATCTCTCGCCGGTTCCACTCGCCCCGGTGACCGGGGTAGCTGACGGACCTGTCCGTCAGGTAAGCCTCGATTACACGACGGAGGTAGGTAGGCACCCGATGATATCGGAGTGCCTCCAAGATGCAGCTCCAGGGCAGGGAGTTGAAGGCGTTGGCGATGTCCAGAGACACCGCCACTACGACCTTACCCCTGGACACTGCAGTCCCCGTCGTGAGGTCTCTAACGCGCATGATGGCGTCCACCGTGGAGCGCCCTCTGCGGAAGCCGAACTGGCCGTCCGACAAGTCCGGCCCAATGTCCGTCAGGTGCGCGACGAGGCGGTTCGAAATGATTCTTTCGAAGACTTTCCCCACCTCGTCGAGCAGCACTATGGGCCGGTACGCGGACGGAGAGTCCGCAGGGCGCCCCGTCTTCCGCACGAGGACCAGTTTGCCCGCTTTCCAGAGAAGCGGGAACTGGCCTCTCTCCAGACATGCGCTGTAGAGACCAATCAATCGAGGCCCGAGAGCCTCTGAGGCCAGGACCCATGCCTTGCCATGCAGGCCGTCGGGTCTGGGGCGGTGTTCTTGGCGCCCATCCGGCGCACCGCCGCTCTCAATTCTGCCTCGGTCACCTCTGGGACGATGTCATCGTCGTCGTCGCTGTAGCCCGCGTCGGGCACCGCAGGGGGCGGAGTCATATACGGAGGGGTGAAGCCCCTCCACAGTCGGGGGAACAGGGCGCCAATCACCTCCTCCAAGACTTCTGGCCGGAGACTCTGAGTGAGCGGGGGAGCCCAAGCACGGAGCTTGTCGCGTACCATCAGGTACGGGCGTCCCCACGGGTCTCTATTCAGAGTCCCCAGCATCTCTCGGCGGGCCTCCTCCTTGGCCCGCAATATCTCCGCCTTGAGGAGGGCCTTCGCCGCCCTGTATCCCTCGTATAACTCCGCCTCTCTCGCCTCCGCATTAGGAGGACGGATACGGCGCCTGCGGTGCCTAGTGTACTGGCGTCGCGCAGTAGTGCACGCCTTGCGCAGAGCCGCCAGCTCTTGCGACCACCAGTACACCTGGCGCTTCTGTTGCCTCGACCGGATCCGGGGCATCGCCACGTCACAGATCCTGGACATGGCGTCCTGGAGCCACTTGGCCTCATCGTCAACGTCGGCAGGCCTGACCGGTGGTATCACCCAGGCCTGCACGATGGCGGCTTCCAGGAGCAGCTCCCGGTCCAGCTGTTTCAGCGCCCAACGCGGGCCACATGGGGCCTGTCTGACCGGCGGGTCTGCGGACTCGGCGGAGACGTCGAACCGGATATACCGGTGGTCGGAGTACGTCTCCACCTCCTCCATGACGCGCCAGCCAACAATACGCGGTGACAGAGCAGGGCTGGCGAACGAGATGTCCACCACCGACTCGCCCTGCATCCGCACACACGTGGGGACAGAACCCCGGTTCAGGACGACTAGGCCTGTCTCAAGGGCCCAGTCTTCCACCATCCTACCCCGGACGTCGGTGAACCGGGAACCCCAAGCCAAGTTTTTGGCGTTGAAGTCCCCGAGGACGAGCACGGGGAGGGAACGGAACCCGACGACGACAGTGACCAACTCCCTCAAGGAGTTGTGGAACTCGGCGAGAGTTCGGTTCGGAGAGAAGTACACGCCCACCACAGCGAGCTCTCCGAACCGTGCTGCGACACAACCCCGGCCTCTTTGAGCAGCCTCAAGAGTCGGGGTACCGGCGGCGGCCGACGAGATGATGGTCACCGAGCCGTCCAGGTCCGCCACCCAGTGATCCCTGGGCAGGACAAAGTACGGCTCGGAGACCACGGCGACATTGATCGACCACTGCGCCATGCTCTGGAGCAGGAGATCCTGAGCAGCGGCGCAGCGGTTGATGTTCGCCTGGAGGAGGCGGAATGGGGCCATTATTGGCAGTCCATTCCGATCTCCTCAGTGGCGGCAGCGGCGACTGCGGTGGCAGTGGCGGCGGCGGCGGCGGAAACGGCAGGGGCGGCGGAGGGCCTACCTTTGCCCTTGGGTTTGGCGGGAGGGGAGCAGCCTTTGCTCCCGACCCGGTGATTGGCCGGCTTGCCAGCCGCCGCACATGCATTGCAGTGCAGCGGGGCGGAGCACGAGCCGGCCTTGTGACCGGGCCGACCGCAGCGGAAGCAACAGTCGCTGCGGTCCACCTCCGAGGTGCATTTGACACTCACGTGCTCCCCCACGTGACAGCGGTAGCACCTCAGAGGCCGGGTCTCGAGCAGCTTGACCTGCGCCGAGACCCATCCCACCAAGAGCCTTTTGCCCTCCTTCAGCTTCTTGGCCGCTGTGACGGGGCAGCTGACCACAACAGTGCGCAGCCCCGAGTTGTCCGGGCGGATGGCGCCTGCCTTAACTTGGTCAGCAGGGCACCCTCCCGTCCTGGCCACAGCGGCCACCACCTCACTCTCCGTTACGGAGTCGTCCAGGCCCAAGATCCTGACATCCAGGCATTTGGTTGGCCTGGACACGCGGGCCTCGTCCGCACCGAGGCACGCCCTAAGCCTCTCGGCCAGGGCGTCGGCCGATGGGCCGCTGGTCGCGCCGGGGACCTCCAAAAGACGGGCTCCGGTAGCGGTCACCTTGACCGCGAACCCGTCTGGCGCCCCGAACTCCGCAGGAGA